GGCTGCAATTTGAGAAGGATATTGATAAGCTGGAACATGTGCAGAGGAGGGTGCCCAAGATGATCAAGGGTCTGGAAACCAAGCCTTATGATGAACGGTTGAAGGAGCTGGGTATGTTTAGCCTGGAAAAGAAGAGACTGAGAGGAGATAGGATAGACATCTTCAACTACCGTATCTCAAGGGCTGTCACATGGAAGATGGAGCAAGCCTGTTTTCTCCTGCTCTAGCAGCTCGGACTCAAGGCGATGTCTTCAAGTTATAAGGAGATTCCGACTAAACTTTCGGGAAAAACTTTCTGAAGGTAAGAGCTGTTTGGCAGTGAAACAGACTCCCACAAGAGGTGATGGACTCTCCTTCCTTGGAGGTTGGAAGGCCATCTGTCAGGTTTTTTTTTAAAAAATCTGTGGTTCCTTTATTCCAGGAAATGGACAACTCTTGGTGTCCCAACGCTACGATTCTATTATTCTAAAGTTCTCCATCTCTCTCCCTCTCTCTCTCTGCCTCCCATTTCCATACACAAAGTTTGACCCTCAGCACCTTGAAAACTGTAAGACTCTCAGAGGGGGGAAAGTATTAAAAGTCTATAAACCAGTGGAGTAATATAATACGCTCCCAGTAACCGCGTAAACATGTGTGTGTAATAATAAGTTATTAAGAACCCGCAAGCCGCTGTGTCAGAGCTCGCAGGCTGGCACGCTTCAGAAATTTGGTATGGGTTTTTTTGCATATATATGTATGTAGTCAAAATAAAAGTTTCCGAGAACTGACCTGCCAAATCTGGGAAGGACTCCAAAAAATGTGTGTCAATGGCGAGCGAAGGACACCAGCGATGGATCGCGGTGGATGGGGAGATTTGCCATTTCCCCGAATTTTGGAACTGACTGATCAAAGGTTAGCACAGCTGGAGATGGAGGGAGGAAATCCTTCAGAGGCACTGAAGGATAAATTGGACAGTCTTGATCAAGGATGGGCACCCAGTGGAACTAGGATTGCGTGCAGCCCTCCATCTTATTCACATATAAATTTATTAAATTTACACACACACACTTTCCTCTCAAAGGAGTAAACCCATCCACAAGAGAATGCAATTAAAACTTCTCAAAAACAATTAAAAAAAAACCTTCTAAAAAGAGTTTAAGACTCCTTAAAAAACAGTTGAACAAATTGCCTACTCCCAGTTAATAATTTCAGGGTTGCTATAGATGGTACCTAAGGGTAAAGGTAAAGGGACCCCTGACCATTAGGTCCAGTCGTGGACGACTCTGGGGTTGCGGGGCTCATCTCGCTTTATTGGCCGAGGGAGCCGGCGTACAGCTTCCGGGTCATGTGGCCAGCATGACTAAGCCGCTTCTGGTGAACCAGAGCAGCACACGGAAACGCCATTTACCTTCCTGCCGGAGCAGTACCTATTTATCTACTTGCACTTTGAGGTACTTTCGAACTGCTAAGTTGGCAGGAGCAGGGACCGAGCAACGGGAGCTCACCCTGTCACGGGGATTCAAACCGCTGACCTTCTGATCGGCAAGTCCTAGGCTCTGTGGTTTAACCCATAGCACCACCTGTGTCATAGATGGTACATAACCCCTGTAAAATTAGCAATGATATATCACAATAGTGATAATCTATGTTGGAAATGTAAAGAAAAAGAAGGTACCTTTTACCATATGTGGTGGACCTGCCCCAAGGTGAAAGACCTCTGGGAGAAGATTTATAATGAATTGAAAAAAATGTTGAAATATACATTTACTAAGAAAATAGAGGCCTTTCTTCTTGGAATAACAGGTCTGGAATTGCCCAAGAAAGATGCTAGACTGTTTTTGTATGCCACAACTGCAGCTAGACTTTTGCTAGCTAAGAACTGGAAAACACAAGAAGTCCCAACAGTGGAGGAATGGCAGATGAAGATGATGGACTTTTCAGAGCTAGCCAACCTGACCGGAAGAATCTGCGACCAGAAGGAGGAGGACTACCAAGAGGAATGGAGGAAATTCAAAGACTCTTTAGTTAAATATGCTAAGATAACTTAAATAGAAATACTTGCAAAATCTAGATAGGTTTAGGATTTAAATATGTGATGTTATAGAATAACATGTTTAAATTTAAAATGCAAAGAAAGAAAGACGTTAATTGATTAAGTAAATTTTATGAGAAATTTGTTTTGGAAAACTGTTATAATGATATATATTGAAACTCAGCCAGGGGGATTCGAGGAAGTCATGTAACAATGTTATTAAGAGTGGAATAATTACAGTTAGGATTTATGTTTGTTTATAAATTTTGGAAAATCAATAATTTTTTTGGAGAAAAAATAATAATAATTTCAGGGTTGCCAGGAACAGGTCTTTCATCCACCCAGTCCCTGGGTAAACAAGAATAGATTTAGGTTCTTCCATAAAGTCAATGGTGAGGGAGACAAAGGCAACTCCCTTGGAGGGGTGGTGTTTCCACACAAATGGGGAGCCGCCACCAAGAAGGCCCTGTCAGGACGTCGCCACCAACTGGCCAATTTCGTGCATCCCTTGCCCTGATTTCATGTGGGTGGCAAGGAGGGAGAGTGATAAAAAGAGAATAAAGAAGGGAGGGAAGGGGATGGCCCCATAATGTTGGTCTCCAGCCTTGGCTGCTTCCAGTATCATCCAGCTCCCCCACTCCTTTGAGGACCTGAGGGAATATGGTCCTCAACAGCAACAAGAAGATTACCCTTATCCTTGATCTGGATTTATCCGGGAATTGAGAAGGCATTTCCAAAGCAGCCACCATGGGAAAGGTGGGTGGTGTCTTGATTAAGTGAGACTTCATAACTTTTACTGGAATATGGACTGATTCGAAACACATTGAAGTCTCGCTAACCCCGTAACAGATAAACATCCCTTGTGGTGCATGATTCAATAATACAGTGCTGTGGTTTCACCCCCTACTTTTCTTACAATGAATAATCATCATGCAACCTCAGCTTACAATGTTAGAAACCCCAACACGGAGCTTTTTTTTATTTTGGTGGTGTGTCCTTATGTCTCCAGATGGGAAGAAACTTCTCTTCTGGGCGCTACAGGAAACAGGCCATGTGTGGCCTATGTGTGTCTATTTGACCATCAGAATCCTTTGAAGGATATTTCTGCTCCATATCCCACCACTATCTGAAGATAAATTAATTATTATTATTAAGACATCCAAAGGCAGCCCTGTTTAGAAGAAGAAGAAGAAGAGTTTGGATTTGATAGCCCGCCTTTCACTCCCCTTCAGGAGTCTCAAAGCGGCTAACATTCTCCTTTCCCTTTCTCCCCCACAACAAACACTCTGTGAGGTGAGTGGGGCTGAGAGACTTCAGAGAAGTGTGACTGGCCCAAGGTCACCCAGCAGCTGCAGGTGGAGGAGCGGAGACGCGAACCCGGTTCCCCAGATTACGAGGCCACCGATCTTAACCACTATACCACACTGGATCATAGGGAAGCTTTTAACGTTTAATAGACTATTGTATTTTAGTATTTTGTTGGAAGCCGCCCAGAGTGGCTGGGGAAACCCAGCCAGATGGGTGGGGATATAAATAATAAATTATTATTATTATTATTATTATTATTATTAACCGCCATGGGGTCCTTTACCTTTTTTTTTTTACCTTTACCTTTGTTGTCCATAAGCTGTTGGTGTTTCTCTCTGTCATGGTCCACTTCTTCGCTCCATAACATATAACAAGTAACATGCACGTATCAAACACTTCAGCGATCAACTCTAAGGAAATGTTTCCATTTTTCAATATGAAGCTGAGTTTTCCAAAGGCCGCCCATGATTGTTTCATTGTCCTTTCCATTTCTGCTGTTTTGTTTTCTCTTCTCAGCATGATTTCTAAACAGATGTGTAATTCATCTTGCTCCATTTCTTTATTAAAGGTGGGGCTACCTTTGAAGGTGACCCGGAAACTACAACTAATCCAGAATGTGGCAGCTATACTGGTGACTGGGAACGGCCGCCGAGACCACATAACACCAGTCTTGAAAGACCTACATTGGCTCCCAGTATGTTTCTGAGCACAATTCAAAGTGTTGGTGCTGACCTTTAAAGCCCTAAACGGCCTCGGTCCAGTATATCTGAAGGAGAGTCTCCATACCCATCGTTCTACCCGGACACTGAGGTCCAGCTCCGAGGGCCTTCTGGCGGTTCCCTCACTGCGAGAAGCCAAGTTACAGGGAACCAGGCAGAGGGCCTTCTCGGTAGTGGCACCCGCCCTGTGGAACGCCCTCCCACCAGATGTCAAAGAGATAAACAACTACCTGACATTTAGAAGACATCTGTTCAGGGAAGTTTTTAATGTGTGACATTTTGATGTATTTTTAATCCTTGTTGGAAGCCGTCCAGAGTGGCTGGGGAAACCCAGCCAGATGGGCAGGGTACAAATAATAAATTATTATTATTACAGTGGTACCTCGGGTTACATACGCTTCAGGTTACAGACTCCGCTAACCCAGAAATAGTACCTCGGGTTAAGAACTTTGCTTCAGGATGAGAACAGAAATCGTGCTCTGGCGGTGCGGCAGCAGCAGGAGGCCACATTAGCTAAAGTGGTGCTTCAGGTTAAGAACAGTTTCAGGTTAAGAACGGACCTCCAGAACGAATTAAGTTCTTAACCACAGGTACCACTGTATTTTTTTTATTTTTATTTTTATTTTTATTTTTTTTTTATTATTATTATTATTATTATTATTATTATTATTATTATTTTCTAATTGTAGACCATTCTTGATATAAGTCCTATCAATTAGCAAATGCAAAACCTTGCACTATCATGTCCACCTCTGCTCCCTTTTCCGGTGACGCGTTTTCCCTACTCTGGGGACCCACTGCAAGTCAGAGTAGACAGCCTGCGAGCTCCACCACTGGCTCATCATGACACGGCTTGGGTATGGAAACCATTATCCTCAAGCAGAGACAGCAGGCAGTGGAGGAGAAATATTCCACAACGATTATGAGACGTTTTTATTCTCAGCGGGAAGCAGAGTCACTGTCGAGAAAGGGGCTGGGTCCGTTTGTCTGCAGGCTTTGTTATTTTCCTCCAGACCCGACGTCGCTCAGCAGATGGTAGCAAAATTTGACATCTCCCGGCTATCCTGTCTGCTTATGGCTGGACACTCTCAAAAGGGAATGCCTTCTGACGGCTTGTTAAAGTTTGTTGCTGCTCCATCCCTCTGCTGGATCCGCTTCATGCCTTTCCAAATAAGATCTGTTTTGTGTGCTTGGTGCCCATACGCACAGCTGGCCTGTACGAAAACATTCCAGAAAAGGAAAAAAAGAGAAAAGGTCGATGCAATAAAAGAGGATTGCAGAGTCATCCAGGACAACAGAATCATAGAGTTGGAGGCTCATCTGTTCCAACCCCTGAAATGTTGGAATCACAGCTAAATGATTCCTGACAGATGGGCATCCTATTGGTGTTTCGCAACTTTGACCTGTTGCAGGATCTTAGTCAGACCCAGTTGAATATAGCTGTGATGGCCTGGGATTCGGACTCAGATGCTGAACTTGAAGGATCCCAGCCTGCACAGGAGTCCCCGCCTCCAGAACCAGCTGAGCCAGGGCTGGGGCTTGAGCCTGAAGGGTCCTCACCTGTGCTGGATCCTCAGGTGCAGGCACCAGCTGAGTCTGCTCTGGCTCCTGAGGTGATGGAGGACCCATTGCCTGCAGGTGCTCCACTCTCAGCCCCGTCAGGGGAAGCTGAGGTTGCCTCTGGGTCCGGTAACCCTCCAGCCTCTCCAGAACAGCTCTTAGTCAAAAAGTTCTTCCTGATGTTTAGTTGGAATCCCCTTTCTTGTAACTTTGAATCCTACCTTCCAGGGCAGGAGAAAACAAGCTTGTTCCATCTTCCATGTGACATGCATTGATATATTTGAAGACCGCTAGCATAGCTCCTCTCAGTCTCCTCTTTTCCAGGCCAGACGTGCCCAATTCCCTCAACTGCTTCTCCTAAGGCTTGGTTACTAGACCCTTGATCATCTTGGTCTCTGTCTGAAGTCCAGGTTTCCCGCTTGATAACACAGTAAGTGCGGATAATTAAAAAGGAGGATTTGTTGCAAAAACAAACTGATAACTTTGGACGGCTCCAACAAAGCCTCCGGCATCATTACTCAAGATGACCCTTCTGAAGACTCCTTCCGGTGTCTACAGAATATATTGAACTTTCGCACCTTACGTCTTTTGTTTTGCTTCCTGTCTTACAGCCCTCCCATTCGCCAACTCTGCAGACTTATTGGATCAGCTCCAACCTCTTCCTTTTCCGAGCGAATCTCTCTGTCTCTGTTCAGGCCTGTTTGAGCTGTCAGAGAAGTTTGGCTGTGTTCCAGCCCACTTTCAGCTACAGCCTTATCAGCTGTCAAGGTTAGGAAGAGTTGAAGTCTGCAGCTCCCAGCTCTCCCCTGTTTGACTCACATCTAAGCCTCTCTGTTCCTGGCTGCTTTCTTTTCTTGGAGCTGGCTCATTCCTGACAGTTGCCCTCCTCAGCACCTGTTCCAGCTTATCAATATCCTTCTTAAACCGTGGTGCCTAGAATTGGACACAAAACTCCAGCTGTGGTCTGGTCAAGGAGCACTATCACCTCTCTTGATGTGGATAACATACTTCTGTCAATGCAGTCTACAATTGCAATAGCTTCCTTGCGTCAAGATTTGGGCCCAAAGGTTACCTCCATATTTATTTGCATAAATAACAACAATTTGGAAGTTCCAAGCCCCAAGGAAGTTAGATTGGCCACAACCAGGGCCAGGGCCTTTTCAGGAAGTTCCTGCAGCCAATCAGAAGCCATGCTGGACGTCCGGCTTCCGAAAATCGTTTGAAAACCGGAACACTCGCTTCTGGGTTTCGATTGTTCAGGAGCCAATTTGTTCAGGGGCCAAGGCATTCGAGATCCAAGATACGACTGTATGCTGATATATCACAAGGACTGGAATTTAGCTCGGCTGCTTCTTCCGAGATACATGGCCCAGCCCTACATGGTGAGTGAGTCCCAGGTAACTACCATAGAGTTACCAGAATTTCCAAAAGTCTGTGGTTTGGCTTTTGAAAAATAGGGAGTCTTCAGTAATTAGCTAATTAGGAACCACTGTTCTAAATAGTTGTTTTATATACAGTGGACGCTCGGGTTGCGAATGTGATCCATGCGGGAGGCACGTTCGCAACCCGCAGTGTTCGCAACCCACAGCGCTGCGTCTGCACATGCGCAGGTTGTGATTCAGTGCTTCTGCGCATGTGCAAAGTGCGATTTACTGTTTCTGCGCATGCGCGAGCGCCAAAACCCAGAAATAACCTGTTCCGGTACTTCTGGGTTTTGGAGCATCCGTAACCCGAAAACACGCAACCTGAAGCGTCTGTAACCCGAGGTATGACTGTATATATATATATATATATATATGATAATGTTATTCTTTTATTCTCTTTTTAAACCGCTTTGAGGTTCTTGGGCTTTTGTTTTACAATCGAGCAGTGTATAAATGTTATTGTCAAGGAACTGCCATTGGTTCAGGATGGAGAGAGGAAAAGCCGGATGGATTACAGAGAGCCCCCAAAGATCGTGGAAAGTAGCTCCTCCTCAGCGGAGGAGAATAACCACACCTCCAGTGGAGAGGAGCTGCAGGGTTCGAAGGAGGCGAGGCGTTGCCAGGACACCTTGCTTGGGCAGAGCGGGGAGGGGAGAGGTCCGCCGTTACCCACGCCCTCCTTGCGCAGTAAGGTTTCGCGCCGAGAGGGGAGGCGCAGACTGGGCGTCAAGAAATTACTTTGCTGGGGAAAGTTTAAGCCCCGCCCACTCAGGGATTCTGCCAGTGAATGAGCCAGCCACGGGAGAGTGGCGCTCTGGACAGATAAAGTTTATTTTGCATCAAAAGCAAGGCTTCACAGCCGAGCAGGGAGGTAATTGCCTGCTTGCTCTCAAGCAACCCCTTGGAAACCTAACAGTTATGAAATAAACACATTATAAAATGAGCTCAAGACAGGGAGGTCCAATGTTCTGTGAGAGACACTCAAAAGGAAGTGCTTTTGCTGAGGCCTTCCAGTGTCTCGCGAGGCAGGCAGAATTAACACCTCAAAGATAATGTGAAACTGCTCATTTCATGGATGGTGAACGTGTTGCCCCTCCATCCTTCAGGGAAGAGGAGAAAGAAGAGCCAGGAAGGGTCAGACGCCGGTCTCCTGAGAGGAAAATCTCATGCCGGCCACTCCAGCCTACCTCGGCAAATGATTTATTCTTCTTCAGGGGAGCGCTAAACTTCAAAGTTCAGATTAATGAGATAGAAACACTTTCCAGGTGCTCCCCAAGGGGGTGCAATATATCAAGGTGAGACTGTCATGGTGAAACTTTCCACAAGGATGTGATGGGTTGGTAGGCACAGAATTTATTTATTTTTCTAAAGGGGGGGAGGTGTGTGGTGATGACAGAGGCAATTGTGAATCTGTGCCATGCCACAAATTTCCGACAGATTAGTTAGAAGATTCGGGATAGAGGAAAGGATGAATTGCCTCACACAGTTCTTTTTCAAAAGGATTTGATCCCGCAAATTGACTCTAAAAGATGATTAGATGCATTCATGGAGGAGAGGGCTATTGATGGCTATGCCCTCCAACATTTCTCTGATGAAAATAGGTAAACGTACCCCTGACCGTTAGGTCCAGTCGCGGACGACTCTGGGGTTTTCAGCACTCATCTCGCTCTATAGGCTGAGGGAGCCAGTGTTTGTCCACAGACAGCTTCCGGGTCATGTGGCCAGCAGGACTAAGCCGCTTCTGGTGAACCGGAGCAGTGCACGGAAACACCGTTTACCTTCCCGCCGGAGCGGTACCTATTTATCTACTTGCACCTTGATGTTCTTTCAAACTGCTAGGTTGGCGGGAGCTGGGACTGAGCAACGGGAGCTCACCCCGTCGCAAGGATTTGAACCGCCGACCTTCTGATCAGCAAGCCCTAGGCTCTGTGATTTAGACATGTCCTAGTATTAGTATTAGTATTAGTATTAGTATTAGTATTAGTATTAGTATTAGTTTTATTAGTGTTATCATAATTATCATACCCTGCCCATTTGACCAGGTTGCCCCAGTCACTGGGCAGCTTCCAACAAATATAAACACATGATCAAACAATAAACATCAGAAAGCTTTCCTAAACAGATGTTTTGTATAGGTTATATAGTTACCTAGCTCCTTGGCTCTGGGGTTGCAGGACTCCACACCCTCCAACTTTTCTCCAGTGAAAATAGGGAAATCCCAAGGAAAAGCGGGACCATCTGGGATCAAATCAGAAACTGGGACGGCTTCTGCAAATCCAGGACTGTCCCTAGAACAGCCTTTCTCAACCTGTGGGTCCCCAGATTGAACTACAACTCCCATCACCCCTAGCTAGCAAGGCTGGAGCTCAGGGATGATGGGAATTGTAGTCCAACAACAACTGGGGACCCACAGGTTGAGAACCGCTGCCCTAGAAAATAGGGACACTTAGAGGGTCTGTATTGTGCCTTCAGTGTTACAGGCAATATGTCTCTGAAGGTCATTTGTTGTGGATCACAAGTGGGGAGGGTGTTCTTGCACCCGGGGGTGTTTTCTCCCCCCCGACACACACAAGAGCTTTCCTCCTCTAGGAAGCCCACAAGGAAGATCTGAACACAACAACACAACTGTGATGGCCTGGGATTCAGACTCAGAGGCTGAACCTGAGGAATCCCAGCCTGCACAGGAGTCCCTGCCTCCAGAACCAGCTGAGCCGGGGCTGGGGCATGAGCCTGAAGGGTCCTCACCTGTGCTGGACCCTCAGGTGCTGGCACCAGCTGAGTCTGCTCTGGCTCCTGAGGTGATGGAGGACCCATTGCCTACAGGTGCTCCACTCTCAGCCCCATCAGAGAAAGCTGAGGTTGCCTCTGGATCTGGTAACCCTCCAGCCTCTCCTGAACTGCAGAGGCTCAGGGCAGAGAGGCGGAGGGAACTAAGTTCTCGCAGGAGGAGTGCTCGCCTCCAGGCCAGGAGAGGCGAGTCACCTGTGGATTGGGGCCGCCCTGTGCCTCGGGGCAGATAAAAGCCAGTCAGCCCCAGTCCCAGGTTGCAGGAACAACGTTGTTGCTAGCCTGTTCCTGCCTGCACCCTGTCCTGCTCTTCTGCCAGAGTTCCTCACCCCACCCCACTCCCCGCCTTGGACCCAGCTACAGCTTTGATGGACAGCCTCCATACCGCACCATCGACCTCGGACTGGACTTGGACCTCGCCTCTCAGTTAGCCCCCCGGGACCAACACAAAAACTCTCCCTTCTCGTGATTCATGGTCCTCAGAGGCACATGTCACCTCCAACGATGGAGCGAGAACAAAGCCATTGTAGCTTTGGCTAGCCTTGTCATCCACGCATTTCCCTAATTAAACTGTGTTGATGAGCTTAGAAGTACCAAGGCCTTCATATTTGATGGATAATGACTATGGGGCTCGTTTCAAGGCAAGCATGTTAAATGTTCAACCGGTCAACTCCCACGGCGAAAGAGAGATCCATTGCCACAATCCATTTCATCCTTTGTTTCTTCTCGCGCCTCTCCTGTAATTTATGGTAACATCTGACCATCCCGTCGTTGCTCACGCAATGGAGAAAGCAGAGGGGAGGCCTTTGTAATATGAATGAGCGTTCTTATCGGCGCGCCTT